GTCATCCCACAACTCTTCTGGTCTTCAGTCTTTAGTATTTAATGCATTAAATCTGTTCTTCAGATGGTCTCTAAATTCAGGTGGGATAAATTCAAGGTCATACTTTGGCTCTTGTGGGCCTGATTTCATTTTCTTCAGCTTCAGTTTGAATATGCATATCAGTAATTGATGGTCTATTATTCCACAGTCTGCCCCTGGCCTTGTTTTCACTGATGATATGGAGCTTTTCCATCTTCTCTTTCCACAGATGTAGTCAATTTGATTTCTAAGTGTTCCATCTGGTGAGGTCCATGTGTCTAGACGTCTCTTATGCTGTCTAAAGAAGGCACTTGAAATAAACAAATCATTTGGCAGAAATCTACCATTCGTTCTCCAGCATCATATCTATCATCAAGTGCAAACTTTCCAACTACTGGTCCTTCCTCTTTGCTCCCAACCTTTGCATTCCAATCACCAGTAATGAGCAATACATCTTGATTGCATGTTTGATCGATTTCAGGGTGGTTAAGTACTTCTCTGCTAACCAAAACGTTGGTGGCTTGAACGCACCAGCTGCTTCATGAGATAAAAGATGTAGCAGTCTGCTTCTGTACAGATGACAACTTTGGAAACTTCAGGGGACAGTACTACTGTCCAATAAGGTTGCTAAGAGTCAGAACTGACTTAACAGTAATGGGTTTGTTTAGGATGAAGAAGAGTTTAGAAATAAATTAAGTCAAGACACTAAACAGAAAAAAAAGGACAAATGAATTAAGGCATAAAGAGGAAAACAGATACAATTTGGTATCTTAAATGAATATGGGGATGGTGGTGGTGGTTAAGTGCTGTGGAGTCGGTTGCAACTCTTCGCCACCCTGCATAGCGTTTGTGAGACTGTAAATCTTTACAGGAACAGAATTTTTCTGCCTCATCTTTCTCTTGCAGAACAGCTGGTAGTTTCAAACTTCTGACCTTGAGATTAACAGCCCAATTCATAACCACTACGCTACCAGAGATCCTTGAATATGGGTATGTTGTTGTTGTTGTTGTTATGTGCCATGGAGTCGGTTCTGACTCATAGCGACCCTGTACAGGGTTTCTGAGGCTGTCAATCTTTACAGGAGCAGAAAGCCTCATCTTTCTCCCGC